ATATAATAAATCTATCGTACAAATAATTATACTTACTAACTACATGTTAATATAATATTTATTTGGTATATATTTCTATACTGAATACCATTACACGCGTGAAATATTTAATTTTTGTAAGTTATAATTCTAACTGTACGTACTATACTCTTTTAATACTATTTTACTAAATTTTGTCATTAATAGATATAATTGCAATTAAGTATATACATGACAATGAAGGCACATTTGTGTAACTCTTTATGCAAACTGCGTTTTAGTGTAGAAACTCACCGTTACTCGCAGACAGTTCCTTAATTTCATCGCGATGAGTGCGGGATCTATTTGTTCACTGAGAAGCATCGGAGATAAGGCCTTGAGGATTATGAAGGAGATTGCTCGACTGCGGTCCAAGGAAGCGCCCTCGACAAGAGAGCTACCTAATTACGACGAGGAAAGGCGGAAGCGTCAAACAGGGCCGATCCTACATAGTAGAATTTAACGCTTCGCATCATATTTCTAGAGCTTGATTAAAAAGGGAGAAGACTTATTTTACAAAATTGTCTTTAATTCATATTTATCAAATTCATATTTATTCATATATAATATTATTTTGTACTTTATTTCATAGCTTTTATTTTGTAACATATTTCTATCTTTAAAATATGAATTTGACGCATTTTATATCTAAATAATAACGGAACTTTTTTTATTAAAAAATTAACAATTTTTATATAACAAGTGTAGTTTTATGAATAGTTGACATTTTTTATATAACGTAAATATGTATAAATATAAATTTTTAATTCAAACAAATGTTTTAATTCTAAATTCTGATTAACTTTAATTGCATACTGAGTTACATACAAAGCAAACAATTTTTAAATTTTATTTTATTAACTTTTTTTACGTTTATTGCTGTACAATTTAGAATATTCGTATAAATGAATATTTTTTTTGCGGATGTCAAACTGAAAATCTTGAGCTTTACTTTTTCATCGCTAGAAATCTCGTATTTGCATCGCAGCGGCCCTGTTTGCAAGCGAAGATGAAGAGTAGTAAGAAGATAATATCTTTCTCTTGGTTAGATGTGTGCTTCTGAAAAGTACGAAGAGAGAACGTAACATCCTACCGCTTTACTCCGATCCGGGTTTCCCTTTCTATCGACTAGAATGGTGGATGAAAAAGGAAGAGAATAACGGGAGATAACGACTATCGAGGCCATTGCTAAAGACGTAATGGACCACTCTTCAAGAACGGCGTTTGTCTAAATGTTAAACTTTACGGCATGCCCGCATGATCGCTTGGAAAAAACTTTAGTCGACCTATCTCTACAACGAAACGTTTGCGATGTTAATACTGCTGACTCTTTTCAAAAATAAGCTCAATTATTTCGATTGTTTATTTAATTTTCTAATTCGCAAAAATTACAGAATAAACAAGCATTATTCATGCTATAGCATTATTCATGAAAAAAAAAAACTTTGCTTTAGCTTTGAATAAACAGAAAATTTAAAAAATTACAAATTTTGAAAACATTCGAGAAATAAAAAAATGATACAATATAATAAAACAAATGTGCATTTTGTTAAAATCAAACATATGTAAGCATTTATTCATTTCATGACTATTGTACTGTATAACGTGCGGAAAATGAGCTAAACGCAACAGGAATACACGGAGAAAATTTTATATCAAAAATTACTATGTACGGCATTAACCGCGGACCGTAAAATTTTTACTATGTTTCACATGCGGAAAACATTAAGTTAAAAATTTTTATAATTCCTTCACGGTCCGCAGCTACTACCGTACATAGTAATTTTTGATATAAAATTTTCTCCGTGTAGATATCGTTGATTCCGCAATTTGCTGCGAGACGAAGTTTTCAAGATATTGTTTTCTTTGTTGCAGCTTTCTGCTATTGTCGATGGGGTTTATGCCGAGCACGGACATACCGCAGGATCATTCACACATTTGGCAAGCGATCGACTTCTCGTCGGTGGAGGCGCTAATGCAAAGTCCTTGCAAGGCGCAAAGGGGATCAACAACTTCGTCGGATGTCTAAGAAAGGTTGGATCGATAGCATAATTTATTTATATTTTGCAGTAACTAACTTTCCTATCTAGACTCTGCAAATAAGCTTAATGGAATCAAAATTGTATAGAATATATAATGATTCTTAATCTTTCTAATATCAAAATTTGGAACAAAAATGATAAATTTTAATATGTATAACAAAATGACGTAAAATGCAATAGAAATCTCTAAAACTATTTTTAAATATTAATAATATTCTTACACTAATTATTATTTTTTATTTAATACTTATTCTACATTGCTTACTTTATTTGAAAATATTTTCTTTCTCTTTAAACAGCTTAGTTTTCCATTATGTGATTTACTTTGATATATTTTGCCACAATGTAGCATTTTATAGCTAACTTCGACCGTACTTGAGCGTTCTGTAGACTTATTGTACCTTTTTATTTACCATCATCGCAAACAGATGTTTCTCTGTATATCTTGATAGAAAACGATAATAATGCTGGGCGATGATTCTCTACGCCATTATCCGTACTAATAATTAAATTGTCTTTTTCGTGCTGTTTTCGGTCGAATGACCAATAGCAGATGACAATTACTTCGATATCAATTTGCCGATGGAGAATGACGATGATGTGTTATTGAATCTTTGACAAGAGACGTTATATTACACACATACAAACAGTAGAGAGAACGTAAGCACGGACTTCCTGAGTCCTTTCATGAGAATATATATGTTGATTAAACATTGCAAGCTAATACATTTAATTAAAATGTCGGCCATTATACATACAAAATAAAGGAATGTGTAACAATATTAATACATTTATAAAATAACGAGATTTGTTAACTTTATACGGGTAAAATAAATTCAGAAAAACTCAGAAAAAGTATTGATATTAAATATGTATGAGCAAGTATTATATATATAGTAAAACTTTATTTTTTAATTTTAAATAAACTTTAGCACAGTGTTATAGTTTGGAAATAATTTAAAAATTAGCTGCATCTGAATATCTATTAGCGGTAAAAATCTACATTTCCGAAGAGAGAAACTGATAAAGAATTTTTCACAAAATAAATTGCTAAAATCTGTACAGAAAAATCGAGAAACATTTTACATAGATTCTAATGAATAATTAATATTAATATATTCGATGAACTATTAAAGAATTTAAATTTTATAAAAATCAATCGAAACTTTCCGGTAAAATAATTACAGTTAATGTAAAAAATTAAGATTGAAGGTTTTCTTTAGTTCAAAATTCATATAAATAAACGAGTATGGTACCAATAAAATCATGAACGGTACATAAAATTGTTTAACTAAGTGCTTTTACATTATTACATACTTTGAATGTAAGAGACTTACATGTTTTGTAAATTTCAAAATTATTTCTATCTGTAGCGACATGAACTTCCGTATAAATAAAAATATCTGCTCAACGGGGTGTCGACGTGGTCATCGCGACGCAATGAAATATTCATGCCAGCAACTTACTTCGGCTGGGGAGTTCCGCCGAGAAGTGAAGTCGAAGTAACGCGCCATGGGCGATGACAAAGAAACGCGAATGAAGCGATAAAACTCGCAATATAAAGCGCTCTGCGGTAGCAAGAGGTTAATGGCAACTGTAATTTGCTGACTATTTGTAGCTTGAGCAACGCGATTGCGACTTGCTCGACGAATTATTCGTAGTTTTATTTACGAGCGTGCGCACGTTCGCGATATGTAAATTATTCGAGATTCTATTGCCATCAAGTTTTGCTCGCCAGAATTTGTCTGCGCAGTCAGTCGATTCTATTTAAGGCTTTTAGCTCTTTATTTACAACTATATTTGATTATGACGCCAGAACCGAGAAAATTATAAAATTTATTTTTTATATTATATATCAAAATAAATCAATTTTTTGGATGCTTCTATTCGTTTATGGACGTAGTTTAACTAAACATTTTTCGTTTATTTTTATTAGTATTATATGCTTTCTAAAATTTTTCAATTTTTTAAAATTATTCTGCACATATACTGCAATGTATATATAATCTGAGTTCATATATTGTAAATTATAATATCTTTTTTTTTATTAATGTACCAAGCGCATGTCTACTGACGACCTTTATGACTAAGGCAAGATAGCTTATACAGATAATCTGTCGTTGCTTTACTCTTATCCGGATCTTCCTTCTGAGAATAGCTGTCCTTGGGAAAACGAGCACAGCATGCATACAGCTGTGTCATTTTACTGGAACTCTAGCTGTTCATGTCGCTGCCGATAAGAAAAGAAGCCATTCGTGGAAGGTCGAGATTTGGCAATATTCTCGCGATCATCCTTGAAACACGTGCTTAAATTTAAAGTCAAGCAACCTATTTCAAACTAAATTTAAAAATACTGAGCATAGAGAGCTCACATAATAATAGGAACTTAAATAAAAAATATGCTATGTGAAAAATAAAAGTTAGAAAGTTTATAAAAATAATTTTTTTAATTGCGTGTAAGATAATATGTTTACATATGTGTAGAAAAATGACATTAATCATTTATTTTGTTCTTGAAAATATAAGATTAATTATTCTAGCTATTTAATTATTTTTATATGTAATTTTTTAATTAAAGTGCTTTTAAAACAGATTTTGTTTGCTTTCTGGCAATAATTAATGATACAAAATGTATCATTAACACACACATCATTAACACCACAAACAAGTACAAAAATAAATATTTTAATTTTATTTTCTACTTGTATAGTGTGCAATAATTGTTATAATGGTTGTAACATATTTTGCTCGCAGGTCGAATTTGCTGCGGAGGGAATAAAAATGGAACTGATAGAGGCAGCCAGAAGCGGTGCGGCGGGTGCTGCGGCTTGGGGAAAAATGGATTTTCACTGTCGCGAACCTAAAGCCTCGGACCCGATCACATTTACTACCAGGGACTCACATCTCGTAAGTTATTTCTCATATATCTTTTAAAATATATTTACTTGCGTACTTGTTGTGATAATTATCTACAAAAAGAGCAGAACTATCCATAAAAGAATTTTTCTTACACTACAGTAAGATACTTGAGTAAGTATAGTACGAGAAATTTTTCCGAAGTGTACTATTACTTACTTTGTAATACCAAAATTGGTCGTGTAAAACAAACGATTTTCAACGCTTCTCTTATTTTCTTGATAAACGTGGATACGCATACTTTATATCACAATTTACAATTTATATTACATTATATTACAAAATACTTTATCCACAATTAAAATCGAGATTATATGGAATATATATAGTGCCATTGATCTCTGTGACATCGTATAAAATACACCACACCGTTCTGAATTAAATGTTTTTTACTCCGAAGAAGAGACTCTTGCATACACGTGTCTCTTAAATAATGCAAAAGAGAAATACGATCTGGATTCACTATCGAGTAGAATCGTGACGATGGAAATATCCGATTAAATCGGGAATGCGCTTGGGGAAGTTTTTGCGCGAGTCAAGCAAGCTGCAAATAACCGTTCAAAGTAACAGCGCAGTTCGCTTTCCAGTTTTCGCGAATATCTCCGATATTCCTCCGAAGCGAAAACAGTCGAGAGGTCAAGGAAACTTCGAGTGTCCTCGTTCTAAATTATCAGAGGTCTTCTCGATTTTTTTCTATCGACGGGCGCATTTAAATATTTGCACGTGGCGCGTGTAATCGGTTCGCTTCTCTACGTAATTCTCTACGTAAATTCCTAGAAAGAGGCGGGGAAGAAATATGTGAATACATTAATCACTTAGGAAAATACGTGTTTTTTCAATTAGTTTCTTGAAGAAGATAAATATATATAAAAATATGAGTCAGTAGATTTTTATTTAGAAATCTCTGGCAATGTTACAATTTCGATACTTTGTTCTTTTCTACCTATATATTGTTAATATACAGCGACATTAATATTATAACATTACATTAATGATATTTGAGCACATCCCTTGCTAATCGATACTTATCGGTAGCCGCAGAATATTCATAAAATATGAAACTCTGACATATATTTGTTAGATGAATTTTCATTGGTATATTAGATATAATTGCTATTTATAGTACGCAAATTTTTAGCACAGTATTTAAAAAAATTACTTGTTAATAAATAATAAGAGTTCTTAAATCTTATTATAAATACATCTTTTCCGATCAATATCATAAATTGCACTTTGTCTAAAAATTACAATGTTTTTTTCGAAACTATTTTTATACCGTTTTAAGCTCATCTTTTTATAGAATGAAAGTGTTATGTGTCTTATTAAAAATTGTATGATACATAATCTCTGCTGTTTAAGTATATTTAAAACGGTTTAAAAATAATTTTTTTAATGCAATCAGACATTGGCTTGAAAGTGATTTACATGACATAGTTTTGAAAATTCTTATTAAATTTTTTATTCTCTTTTTTTATCTAATACATTTTTTTATTTGAAAATGTTCAAATATGTTTTCTACGCATAGCATTTGCGAGAGCTCACTGCGCATAGTGCGTACTCTCGTGCGCTTTTACAGACTACGAAACACCGTCGTTACCATTGCAAATCCTTGTTACAACGGCTATCATGGCGTCAAAGGGCGCAAGAGTGAGCGAATATATGCGCTCTCTGAAAGCGTAGTCGCTATTCTCGAGTAGAAGCTTGTTTATGAGCATGACCGTTCTTGGATTACGCTCTCATCGTCGCGGTTTATGCAGCCGGTGCATTAATACATGTCGCATCCATTCAAGAGAGTTCCCGGTATGTCTTCTTCTTTACCCGTTCAGATAGTGTAGTATTGAAAATTCTCGACACCTATTGCTTCAAATATTAATTGTAATACATTAGAGAGTTTAGGTAAATTATAATTTAAACAATTAGTTATATTTTATTTTAAATAAATTAACATTCTTTATGCAGTCATGTAACCATTATAATTGCGTTTTTGCTGGTAATAAACTTTGCTGGTAATTACACAATACTCATAGTTCACAGTATGCTTTAAATTAAACTTTTATTAAAAGTTTTGGTGAAAGGTAACTAAAGGATATTATTTTGCTTTATGCTTTTTTTAAAATTTAGTTAAAATTTGTTAAAATCATTTATTTCTAATTAAAATAATTAATTATTCAAAAATTTTGGATGACTAAAAAACATTTTTCTTGAAAGAAAATCGCTTTTAAATAGATTATTGAATGCAAGAAATAAGAACATTTAACACACATTATTAGTTTTAAATCACTATTCGATCCTATATGATAGTTTTCGAGCTGAAATTTAATTAAATTATTTAATAAACAATAATGTAATACAATGCATACGGTATGCCAATTTTATGCATGTTGGTATTAGATATTGATAATATTAGATAATATTTGATCAGTTAATATATGATAAATAAATTAATATGCATTCAATTTAGCAATTAACAATAAACAAAGAGTACTCTAACAATAGAACTGTACAATTAGAGTGTATAGTATAGTGTAAAGTATATCAAGAGACACGGTCGTGTTCAAGTTCACGCATCACGTGCAGAGAAGCCGGCCATGTATTATACAATATAATACAAGATATATGTATACGCGAGTGTCGGCTATTTGAGAGTATCTTTAGTTTATTGCATCTTCATTATCGTCATTAACGTCTGGATCGATCAAGCTTCTAATAGGTTAATCGATATTGTATGTTGTATAATAAAGAGAGATATTGCAAATTGATGCAAAATTAGTAACGTACCAAGCAGCGAGAACTTTTTATTTTCAGATCTCACTTTCGGTCAATAAAAAGATTGCAATTATTTATATTGATTTTATTGTTCGTGAAAGAAACATTATAAAATCAGCTTTTGTATATTTATTATTTCCTATTTTTTATATCAAATACTTATGATATTTTTTATCTTTGACATTTAGTTGAGGAATATTGAGATGAGGATCTAATAAACTATCGTTTTTACATTTTCTTTGTTACTCTACTCTGATTATTTTGAGATAGATATAGACAATAAATTATTATATTCTTACAATGGTAGAATACTTTTAGCATGATGTGGATTTATAAAGTAAAAACTCTGCACCAATATACGATTATACATTCGATATCACTTTCTATCAGCGAATAATACGCATTAAAGCTTGTCACGACGAGCAGATAGTCATTCAGTACGAACAATCACTCGTCATTCAGTACGAATAACCACTCATCTGTGATTCATTCATAATTAATATCGGTATCGACATATAGGCGTAATTATTTTGACGTATTCCAGTTACGTTTGTGCCGGACTCTCGTTTGATGACTGTAAGAGAACATGTACACGTATATCGAATACGATATACGTGATATTACGATTATCAGTATCGATGGTGCATGTATAATAAGATCAGATGCTTTGATGTTGCCGCGTTTAAATATCGATGTTATATCTCGAATTGCATTTTTCAAATTAAGAATCAGTGATCAAATGAGTAGGTACGGGCTCTTAGGTATACACGTAAAATCAATGCTTCGTAAATTTCTTATTTTGTAAATTACACGATTCCATATAGTCTGACGAGTTTAGTTTTTGACTTAATGTGTTTTTTCACTATCGCTTCTCTTTAATTTTAGAAGCCATAAAATTTAAGAAATTGTTGAATTATATTTTATGCGTTATATTGGTACCGTAATCGTCTATGACGTCTGAAAATTAATGCTGAAACATCATAGTAACCACACGGTGAACTATTTTAAAGGAGTAATTAGAAGATGAGACGCTTGCGAGAAACTCCCAGATCGAAGCGCTCCTTTGCTTTGGCGCAGTAATCGAAGCAAACGTCAATGCGGACGTCACAGTGGTTGCGTTTTAATTATCGAGGACTGCTGTAGCTTCGCACGAATGGCTTCGGAGTCACTTCTTGATTCTCGTTGAATACTCACACTAGGACATCTTATTAGATCGCAATAGATCGCAGTAGTTACTATATTTTTTAAAAATTATCAAATTTACATTACAAAATTATGTAAAAATTTCCTTTTTTTTGTTAACGAAATTGATTGTAGTAATTTCAACTTAAATACATTTATAATGTTTTTTAATAATTTATATTATTTATACCGTGGTTTTATTAAAATATTACATTTATTTTGATTATTGTTTAAAAACAAGAATACATAGTTAATAAGCAAGTAACAAATCAACTCAAGAAACTAATAACACACAACAATGCGGTATTGAAATAACTTCAAGTTGTGTAAATTGTTATTTGCATATTAATATAGCCATGAAAGAGCCCATCATCACTTGTAGCTGGGCCATTCTAATTGAAACTTGTTACTCGAAATTACTTCCATAGCATTGTATCTATATTATCCTATTATCATGTTAACACTGCCATTTCATTCCGCTTATCAAAAGCAAATAATGCTATTAACAATTACAAATGACGGTTTATCGTTGGCTTTTTATAATTCTTTTTGGGATATTACAGGTTTTCGAAAAAATGTTAACAATAATTGGTTATATTTTTTGTTTAATCATATCTGCAACAAAATTTCTTTAAAATTTTACTTTTTCCAATCATTTATTAACTGATTAATATTTTATGAATCTCCAACTATGTCATTAATTACCGAAATTGTGGATTAATATAAAATTTATACGTTTATGCAAAAACATTCAATAAGAAATAATATGAAAGATACTAAAATTAATACTACGATTTATTAACGCTTCGCTTTCAATTAATAACATTCTAAAGATTCAGTATTGGCACTTGTTAGGAAAATATTTAATTCAATACGTTGAAATTTAATATTAAATTATAATATGTATGAAATTAAAATAAAGAGTGAATGGGAATTTATTATTACAGAAACGTGATTTTCATACGGGCGTATAAATTTAATGTTTTATGTTGTTTTAAAATTAAAGTAATCGGTACTATATAAATGTGACAATAACGGATTAC